AAAATAATCTGTTTTCTTAAATGCTGTTCAAATAATTTCATAAGAAAGTTATAGGAACTTTTATAAACAACTTCATATTCAAAAGGTTATTTTTATTGTTTAAATTTAATTAGATTTCTCAAAAGCTATTTAGAAATAAATGCAACAAGACTTATCCATTGTATTTTCAAAAGAAAACTGATTTCTACAGCATTATTCACATTTTGTAAACAGCATCAATGAACCTGCACATAAAAGGTTAAATGTTTGCAGACCATTCTTTTTTTGCCTCAAAGATCAGAGACAAATTACTATTTTTATTTTACATTCCCTTGATGAGGATAATGATAAACAGCTGTCAGTTCAGGACTTTGACTGCAAAGAATCCAATTGCAATCCTATAATTTAAACAAAGAAAAAAAAAATACATACTCAACACAGCATACATCCAGAAAGAGGCAAGAGAATTGGGTTAGAGGTTGGGGTTAGAGAAAAGGGAACATTTGCTTGCTGCAATTACTTGGTTAAAAACAAATTCCATCTATATATGCTTTCCCATTCATCTTAGACATACTAGAGGGGAAATTATTGTTACTTTGTAAAATCAACAAGTTAAATTTGTATTCTGGGTTCCATGATTTCCCTACCATGTCCACTGTGTTCCCAGAAGAATAAAGATTTGCATGGGGCCACATGTCTACTAAATTTCCAGAAGTTAAGAGAATTTCAAACTGTCTTACTAGCTATTTTGGAATGCCTCTAATTTTTAATTTTATTATTTTTATTTTATGTGTATGAGTGTATTGTCTGCATATGTGTAAGTGCACCCGTGTTGTGCAGTGCCTGCAGAGTTCAGAAGAGGGTGTTGGATCCCCTGGAACTGGAGTTACAAATGGGTGTTGGCCACTATGTGGGAATTGAACCCAGGTTCTCTGCAAGACTAGTTGGTGCTCTTAACTGCTAAGCCATCTCTCCAGCCTCCCCCCCCCCCCCGGCCTCTAATTTTTTATGCTGAGAATTTAACCAGTGTGGGGTTTTTTTTCATTTTCTTATTTTTGAGGATTTCATACATGATCATTTTTGCATTGTTTCCATCCCTCTCCATTCCTCACTGACTCCCCCTATGTTCCTCCACTCCCTCTCAATTTCTAGTACTCTTATTATTGTTACATATACAAGCATACATTGATAAATATATCCATATGCGCACACACACACATACATATATAATGCACTGAGTCCATTTAGTGGTGCTTGTGCATACCTGTGTTTAGGACTGTCCATTTTATGTTATATAACATTTGGGGAGCTCCATTCCTTGGAGAATGATCCTCCCTCAGCATCCACTAGTTGACTAGAACTCTTTCTGTTAGTGCACATTTGTTGTGTAAAGCAATGAATTTTATAATGGCATACTTATTCAAGGATATTGTGTGTTTTGGTGATATGTGTTCCCCATTACTCCTCTCCTGCACTTCCTAAATAGTACCCCTTCTATTTTCATGGTGTGTGTGTGTGTGTGTGTATGTGTGCGTGTGTGTGTATAAAAGATAGGTTCCTCATGAAGGAAAACATATGTCTGGTGTGATTTGTCTGGTTTGTTTTGCTTAAGAAGATGGTCTCCAATTCCATCCATTTTCCTGCTAATGACATAATTTGATTCTTCTTTATGGCAGAATAAAGTTTCACTGTGTATATATACATGTTCTTCATCCATTTGTCAAAGGCACATTCCATATCATAGCTCTTGTAAGAAGTGCTGCAGTAATCATGGATGCATAGATGCTTCTGTATTACATTGATTTAGATTTCTTTGGGTTTATCCCCAGGGGTGGCTAGGTGGATCACATGGTAGTTCTACAAGGTAGTTTAATATTTTTTGAAACCTCCATCCTGATTTCCATAGTGGCCAAACTTGTTTACAATCCCACCAGCAGTGTACAAGGGTCCTCTATCCCATCCTTGCCAGTATTTATCATTGTTCATGTTTATCTTTTTAAATAATAATCATTCCAACAAGTGGGAGGTGTTATCTTGGCATAGTTTTGATTTAACATTTCCTTAATGACTGAGGATTTGGAGCATTTTTCATGTATCCATTGGCCATCTGTACACCATCTTTTTAGAAATATCTGTTCATTTCATTTGCCCATTTAATTTTAGATGATTTGGGGTTTCTTAGTGTTTGAGTTCATTAGGGATTCTAGTTTCTAGATATTAATCTCCTCTCTGATGTGGAGCTGGCAAAGACTTTCTTACATTTTGTGGGCTGTCTCTTTACTTGATTATTTCCTTCTCTGTGCAGAAGCTGTTTAATTTCATGCAATACACTTGTCAAGTTTTGGTTTTATTTCACGAACTATTGGAGTCCTTTTACAAAAAGTCCTTGCCTATGCCTGTATCTTGAAGTATTTACTCTATGAAACCAATGTTCATTATTCATTCTGATACATCAAAGTAATCAAATATTGCTTCTGATTTCAAAAGTGCAAAAATGTTTTGATAAACAATGTAAAGCAAGGTTAAATGTTAAGTATAATATAGAATGGGAAAATCTGTGTTTCTGTAGAAAACCAAATAATATCATTTTCCTGGTGTTTCATATTCCTGGAGGCTTATTTTAATAAATGCTGTTGATTTGGCTTTTCTCTTTTAGTGCAATCATTTATTTCTTATGGATAGCAGTTTTTAATGACATCTTTTTCCTAGAAATTCTTTTAAAATTCTTAAATTGTTTCATGAATAAAACTGACTTGATGTAGTGTGGCTATTTCATTTTTTTATACTTCCTGGGTTTTTTTTTTCACCTAAGGAAAAAGAAATTTAATTTGACATCATATTCATTTTACATTAGTTGAACAAATTTCAGCTCTCGGGGCCCCAACATCCTCTTCTATTGGATAGCGATAACACTGGTGCCCACTTACTAACTGTGGCCCAGTTCTTCTATACCGACTGCTTAGAAGGTATAGGAAACACAATGAATGCTAAACAAACACTCTGGGAAAAGCCAGTTGATGCTGAAATGCTATCAGGCCCTATTGCTAAACACAATAGCAAAATCCAGGAGTGTTTGAGGCCAGAGAAATGAACCAAATTATATACTGCAGTTGTTATATAGGCTTCTATCGCTTTACATAAAGAACATTTTTTTCCACAAAACAAGGTTTTGTGCACTGGGGCAGCTTCCTTGACTTAGGTAAATGCGCTTGTAGTGTTAGCTCCTCCCCTTTCTCTTCAGATACACGGAAATGTGTGGTGGGTACTGATAAGAGGGAGATAAACAAAATCCTAGAATGAGGGAAAAGTATAGAACTAAGGTGAATGGTAACTAATACAAGCAAACAGAAGAGTAAGTAAGAGTAAGAGGAGGAAGTGGTCAAGAGTCTTAGGGCAGCAGGAGCTTGTTTGGGGAAGATGATGGCGGAGCAACTTTGAAATGAAAGCTCTTTACAGGCAGGAAACAGTGGTAGGAAGATGGGGCTTCAGGCAAGGAGACTTACTTATAGAAAACATAGAGGCACATGTAGATAAGTTTGGCCTCTTTAAGGTTTGAATTAGAAATGGCTTATACTGTTTTTATTGTAAATATGCTTATATCACAAGCTCATTATGCGAAAACTACCCAAGATTTAAGACCACTTTAAAAAAATACAAGAGTGGAATAGCTAACATTCTGCATATTCCAGTCCTCCACCTTGCTATTGTACCAGAAAGACGCCCCAGAGACAGCCTTATTCTGTTAGCCTGAGGGCAAAGCATGGGGTCATACTTTCAGGCCAGGAAAATTACCCATTTTGTAGAGTGAGCATATACTTTAATTAGTTTTCATATTATATGAGGTATATAAACATAAAAATATTTTAAAGAGGTGTTTATGAGATTAAATGATTATAAATTCCTTCATTATTAATGATTTTGTAGCCTATAAATATTCCTTTTACACATGTATATTGATTCAAAGGAAAGACTTGTCATTTATAGATCCAGTTATTTAGCACAGTGCTTTGCCTAGAGCTGATTGAAAACCTGGCAGATCAAAGTATGTACATTTCCAAAGAAAAGTACTCCATGCCAGTGTTAGAAGCAACAAATTATTTCCCTTTTCCATTCATAATTAAATCTTTCCAAATACTAGAAAGTAGCTGGACCACTAACAATATCTGTATGATGTTTTGAGCCTAAGATTGGTTCAACTGGACTTGAAATAAAGACCATTTGTTCTAAATTGATTTCAATGCCAAGCCAATAGGTCAGACCTTAATGATGAAGATACCATTCCAGCCCAGCCTCTGGGTGGATAAGCCAAAATTAATTAACTCAAGTCATATAGTATAGAAAACAGATGCTTCTCTCATGTTACACAAATAAATTCTTTGTGTGTAAAAGGGTTCTGCTTTATTCAAAAAATTAACAAGCTGGAAGTTAAAATGGTCAGTTTTCCACAATGGAGCCAGTCCTTAGCCATGATGACACAAGAGGAATTTACACAGCAAATCCAGCAAGTGCATGGAAGACTGACTTATCTTTATATCTGTGATTTGGGCTCCTGGCCAGTCCTTGGGGATTGAGTTTTGAATCTGAGCTGATCCAATCCAGAGCTGGCCCAGCAGTGCCAGAACATCAAGGTTATTCTAATCTATAGGCTCCCTGGAGACTCCTCCCAAAGGCTTACATCTGCATCATCTGTTAGGACTCAGACCTCTGGCCCACTTACAAATGGCTTAAGATTAGACTGTTCTCCAGAGGTATGCTGTGAGGTACACTGTTTATTTGGTTATTCCTCTCAACATTCATTCAGAATCAGGATACTTGTTTTTCCTCGAACATGACAAGCTAAAAGTTGAATAACTGTAGGGTTCTGTTTTTTGTTTTTTTTTAGAATTGATGGGTGATAAGATAAAGATGTTACTGTATACTAAATTCTACCTATGCTAAGTGGAAGTCAATCATTTGATGATTGATATTTTTTTATTCCGAGAGAATACGAGGTAATCCATGTTTTGTTTCCTTTCTGTTAGAATGAAAATGATGAGAATGGCCAAGCAGAAAACTTTTCCATGGACCCACAATTGGAAAGACAAGTGGAAACCATCCGCAACCTCGTAGACTCCTACATGTCAATTATCAACAAATGTATTCGAGATCTAATTCCGAAAACGATAATGCATCTTATGATCAATAATGTAAGTGATTATAAACTATCTCCTTTTAACCCTTAACTCATTCTAGTTTGGAAATTGAGTACCTTTGCTTGAGTGTCTCTGTGGTCTATCTCTGTGGAAAACTGAAATACTTATTACCCAGATTTGTGATTTTACCTTTACATGTGGGTGATTGAGCAATGAAAGAGAACACAGAAGAAATTTCCAACTACAGCACTGAGATGATCCTCATTGGCCCTCTTCTAGAAGGGAGCAAATGTGCCCATGAGAGAGTGCCAAAATACAATATTCATGGAACTGCAAAGCCAGCAATGAAATAAGATGCCCTGGATCCAGAACCTTGAGAGTAAAGGCAAAGGATAATACTTTTTTCCTACACACACACACACACACAGAGAGAGAGAGAGAGAGAGAGAGAGAGAGAGAGAGAGAGAGAGAAATATGTCAATATGATTATTTTCATCATCTATAAACTGTGGAATGACTTTTTTCACCAGAGAAAGGACTTATTAAACTTACCCCCTTGAATATGAAGTCAGTCAACTTGTTTTTGTTTTGTTTTCTGGCTTTCTGTGACAAGGTTTCACTCTGTAGCTCAGGCTGGCCTAGAACTCACAGTGCTCTTCCTAACTTAGCCTGCCAAGATCTGGGATTATAGGCATGAGTCACTGCACCCAGGTCAGCTGGTTTTTCTAAGGTAAGGATGGGTGCTATAACCACAGATCGCTCAGTCTCTTGCTATAGTAGCCATCAGTGGATTTACATTGTCCAGAATGCTCCCTCTATGGTAGCAGTCTGGATGTGATACTTAACTTGTGTGACCCAGTTTGGTTCTTTTTGTAGTTAACTTTTTAAAGGACAAATGAAGTGACAGTTATTAGAGAAATTATCTTTTTAGATAAAGGGCTGATGAAGTATTTTTAAAGTGGGCTTTTCTGAATCTTGAAAGATAACACAACAAGCGTTTTATTCCCACTACTATCTTAGGACATCTTTTGGTTTATAAGGAATCAAAATCAGATGGTAAAATTGTGAAAAGGGCCCTAAACTAGAATTCAGGAGAAACCTGGTTCTAAGCCTGGTTCTGCTAAAGGATTTTGACCTAATGTGAGTCAATTAGCTGCTATGGACCTGTCTCTTCCTTATGTAGACTACTGACCATTGTAAGTGCATCTGACTTAGGGATTTCTTCCAGAATAACAGGATATGTCAGGGTACTGTGAAAACTGTGAGTGTAAGGAATGAATAGGGTACCTATTTAAGAACTATTAGTCCTTATCCATACTTCAAGATTTATTTCTAAAGTTCTGAGGATGACCATCGGCTCCACCATGACCTCTGCAGTTGTGTATTCCTTTATTTAAGAAGTCCTAAGTGCTTGTATGAGCTGTTGTATATTTAACTATTTTCATGAACATTTTGTGTATTCAAGTAAGGTTAGCAGGATGCTTCGAAGTCTAAGCAGCAGGTAAGCAATTAACTGGAAAAGTAGAAACTATGAATTGTGTAATTGTGGTTGGCCAGTAATCCTGAAGCAGATCTTTTTGTCCCTCTGAGCTGAAGTCAGTCCCTCCTACAACTTTAGCGGGAATGTGAAGGGACCTCACAGTACTGTCAGGGAATATGATAGATGTGGCTGCAAGCCATTTAGAAAAATCTGAAGTACTAAACAAAAAGTCTGTGTATCTTTAAAATTACCCTCTTAACTTTGCTTAAATGAACTCAGGTTGTTTTGCTGTGGTATATCCAGGCACTTGCTTATTTAAACATTTTCTTGATTAGGGATCATTTATCTTTCCACTGTTTTACCGGGAGTCATTAGTCCTGCCTTCGGTTCAAGCTCTGCTTTGCTTTGCACTATATTAAATCATCAGCACAGGAAATCATACTTCCTGTCTATGGCTCTGAGAAGCAGCTTGACACAAATTAGTTAAAACGGAGGGAAAAAAATCCTACTGCAAATCTATCCTACTTTCACCTTCTTAAAAAAAACAAGAACCAAATACCCAACCTACCCCCACACCAACTCGCAGGACAGAGTAGTGAAACCCCCACTTATAGAATAGTGCCTGTGGAGAAAAAGCTCTGCCAGTTGTTTTGAGAGGGGCTTCACTTACGAGTCACAGGGAAGAAAACTTCTATTAAGACCTGATCTGCAAGGTCAGACCTTGAAGCAGCGACTAATAGGAACATGGAGAAAGCAAAAGCATCAGTCACGATGAATTCTCATGAAGCAAAGGCAGCCTCAGTTGGAAATGTAACTTTCTATATCTACCAGAAACAAGTTTCACCGCTCTAGCATGCTTGCCTTTCTTGAATATTATCTTTTCTGTGTTTTATTTCTTTTATTAAAAGATCTTGTATCTATAACATGCATTATTGATTTTTAACTTATATGACTTTTTCAAATAGAAATTTCATATCTTCTGAAAACAGTGTACTCACATTCTCACAGCATCTCAATGCCCGAGCCTTTTGTTCATTCCAGATGTAACCTGTTAAGTACAAAGAAATAAACCTAGCAAATACACAGCTCTATGTCATGCAGGGAGGCTGGGGTTTTAAATTTGATTTGAAGTGATAAAATGAGAGAATTAGTAATAGAATCACAACTAGAAAACAAAGCCCAACTCCTAATTCTGAACCCCACCCTTTCTGTAAACAGCTAGTCTCAGATGGAATAAATGCCAAAGAGGGGTCCTCTATGTCTTCCTGATCTATGGCCTTTCCCCTTTGAAAGGGGGATGGCAGCCTGGCCTCCTGAAAAAAGACTATGTTTCAGCTAGCTTCCATAAGGTTCAGGGTTCGGTGGGCAGTTTCCTTTGAAAGTTTACATTAAGCATTCTGCCACTCAGGTCTCCATATGGAATTGTTTAAGAAGTTTAAAGCCAGGCAATAAATGCCTGGCTTCAGACATACTGTAAGCCTTTGTCTATTGAAACACAGCAGCTGTTTCATTACTTAAACATACCAGGTAACAGCAGCACAAAGAAACACAAGTTTATGACAGGCTACAGTTAGAGCAGCAAAGCTCTGTTTGGGTCTTAGAACTAACACACATCACGCCCCACGGCCAGCCCATGCTGATGGCCTCTCCTCAGTAGTTTGCCCCTCTAGAAGTTCCTCAGCAGAATGAAGGAATCCAGCTTTATTCTAAACCATGTGTGGCAAAGTGGTACATAGTTTCCTGTTTGAATCCCTTAGATAATCACCCCTGGGATACTTGTTATAAGACTTGAAGCCTAGAGAGGTTAAAGTGACTTGTCCAGGATTACACAGCTGTGGGCTGTCAGAGTCAAGGTTGCAATGCACTTCGGGTCTTCTCATTCACAGTCTGATGCTATCTCTCGTTCAACAGCAAATAATGCACATGGGAGTTGGGGCTGGGCTCTAAGTCAGCCCTTGTAACCCAGAGGGCTCCTTGCCCACAGAGTGTATCTTCCCAGAGGGCTCATATTACTCAAAGATTTAATTAAGGTTTGCTTGCATATGAGAAACAGTGTCTTAAATCTTAAAGCATTGTTCTTCACACTCAAATTCACAGAACACAAACTAAAATGTAAAAGCTTTCATGAATTCTTTAAAAAAAAAATTATTGGAAGACATGAAGTCCAGGGGCATTTCCCACTTGGAATGGGTGCTGCTGCCAGGCCCTGCAAGTCCACACTGACCCTCTGGGCCATGACCCTCTGCAAGTCCACACTGACCCTCTAGGCCATGACCCCCTACAAGTCCACACTAACCACTTGGGCCGTCGGCACTTTGGAGGAAAATTAATGCCATGTGCCCTAGTTTCAAAACTTCCTTAAGGTGTATGAAGTAAAGTGCTATTTTCAATGTTCACTATTTGTGTGGAAAATACATCTTTAATGCCAGAGCATTATTCTGGCATTTAGACCATGAATCTATTTGCACAGGCCAAGAATACAGCATGATATTCAAGAAAAAACTCACAAGCTCACAACCCACTCAGCTGCCCCCAACACCCCACTCATTCTCCCTACTTTCCTACCCTCACTGTGACCAGGGGAAGACTCCCCCATTTCATAGATGGTAGACTAGTTTTGCCTGTCTCTGAACTTGCGAGTCCTGCAGTGTGTGTATTTTTCTCTCTTCTTTTGTCCAGCATTTTGAGTCCATGGAGTTACTTTTTGAAGGAAAGCCTCCTTGGTCATTGACAGGACTAAATCCCCAGGGAAAGGGAAGGCAATCTGAGCACATATGTGAGATCTGAGTGTTAAAATTCTAACCAACTGCAGCCCCCAGACTAAACAAAATGAAACTTCTCAGTGAGATCTTTACATATATGAATGAGCCATACTGATATTCCACACCGAAACCCTCCCCTCCAGAGAACTTGATTTCAGGGACACCTTATCCCAGGAAACTGCACTGTCTCCTGGTGAAGGCATTAAAATGCCTCAGTCATAACAAAGACAGTTTAAGATTCAAACCTCTTGCAGGGCACTAGAGAAGGGTTAAAAGTTAGGAGCAAGAAAACATGTGGAACGGTTTTTAATGACCTCACATTCCTTTACACTGAGCAGTGGGACGTGGTGTGGTAATGCCTGTTTATTTAGCCTGCAGAGTTTGAGCCCGAATGAGATTTTGTGTGTGAGAGTTTTTGTGAGCCACACAAAGATGTATAGATTATAAGGTGTTATAACTAAAAGCACAAATATTGTTTCAAATCTCCCATCCAAGCATAATTGGTTTGTTGTGTTTTGTGAGGTATTATTAAATGCTATCACCTAAAAGAGCTCAGTAATTGTGTTGCAGAAGCCATTACTTAAATATTTGTGCTGCTGACACCTAAAAGGCTCCAAAAGTCCCTAAAGTTTCTGGAAACTACCCCATCTTTGTTCCAAATCCCAGTTTAGTATAGCAAAGCTAGGCTGGGCTAGACAGAAGTCAGCCTAAACTCTTCCTAACATACAAAATAAAATGCTAACCCATACTTGATATTTAAGTATATAGTGTGATAGCTGCACTATTGCAATAACTCTGTTGTTCCCCTGCCTCTGCCTAACTAATGCCAAGGTAGCCTACATACAGAAAAGAACAATAGCAATGTGTTTTCTCTCCTACTAATAATACAAATTCTATCGGAGCATTGCCAAATGAAGGCATAATGAACAAGAGTTCAGCTTTATAGTGTGTAACATCAGGGTCTCTTATTTTATTTCAATTTAACAGTTGATTCATAATCTGCTTTAGATCTATTCTTAAAAAGGTCTTCTTCTAAATTGTGTTTGATAGATCCTAAGTGACACTCTGGCAAAACGTAAAGCTTCAAAAGCACTTAACCCTACTGATGCTGTATGCCAGGAAAACCGTCTGGTTTTGAGTTTTAAGTTGTGCTTTGTATCCAAGTACACGCACACATACACCCAACAATGGAAGGTCTGTGCACATATCTACGCCTCTGTGGGTACCTGAAAGTGTGTTTCAAAGTGGATAAATCTTCAAAGGGAATAAAAATATTCCCAAAGCCAAATTTACAGCCTTTCCTGGAAATCTGACTTTCCCTTTTGCCTGTTGGTTTCCTATTCGCCTGCCTACCCAAATAGCAATACCAGACACCTCTGGTTGTTCTTTTCTTTCATGCCTCTCTCAAACAGACAACACCAAGAACAAGGCAATTCTTCCTTTATAATGGTGTTTACCTGTACCCATCTTTTTTATTCCTTTGCAGCATTGATAAACTCTATCACCCCATGAACAATCAATGACAGCCTTTTACTGGATTTATCTCCACTGCCACTCTTTGCAAATTCTTTTCCAGTCACAGCCACATTAATTTGCATAATGACTTGTTATTTCATTTGCTTGCTTAAGAGCCTTCCATTGCCAAGTGGCTAAAGTTCAAACACTTTTCCTTAGCATTCCAAGCATCATATTCTTTCCCAGATTTTCTAGCCAAATCGACCTTCTACAAGTATTGTAACCTCCCCCCCACCAGAGAGCCAGCCCCCTGAATACATAGTGTGCATTTCATCACCTCTATATTTGAATCAATCTTGGTTTACAGAATGTGTGCAGGGAACTCTGTTATTTCACTAGAGTGAGACTGATTTAACTGATTTTCTTACTAATGGAATTATTTGCATATTTGAAATCTTTTTTAAAAACTTCAACTGGGTGTTAGATCTTTGTCATCACTAAGTTATATTTTAACCATAATCTAGGTATCCTGAGCATCTCCCAGGTGTCAGAATTTAAACAAATTCGCTTAAAGACTAGATAAGATGTAGCTTTCTCACTTAACAGAGAAACTGAAAAACTCAAATTGGTTTATTTTTCTAGGTTTAAGCTGATTAACATATTTGCTGCACTGCTCTAAAAGAAGGATGCTTAGGCTGAGGTGGAGCTTAGTGATAGAGTGCATACTTATGCACAAGGCCCTGGATCCTATCCCAGCCAGATGATGATGATGATGATGATGATGATGATGATGACGACTCTGATAAAGTTTGGGAGTTGGTCCTCTCTCACTCAGTATTGTGTGATATAGAGACCCTCTTTATTTCCATCCTGTTATAAAATGTCCTCCCTTTAAAGCTCTATTATCTATCTATCATCTATCTATCTATCAATCATCTATCTATCTAGAGTCTTGTGTGTATATATATATATATATTTCACAATTTAGTTTTTTAAATGTATCTGTTATAACTATGAAGCCTCATGTCAATATTTATCACTCTTGTAAACTTCTAGAAAACACAATGTATCTCTTTTACTTTGCTTGAAAATCAACTTGCATAGTTTTATACATGTGTGTAGTTATAATCTATATTTCGTATCTATTTATAGGTACTAATTTCTACTTCGGGGATAACTTTAAATTTTTGAATGGATAATTTTCTGATAATTATCTTAGTAAACATCTAGCTACAGGTTTGGGATTGCCAAGAAATAGAAAACTTGTTGAATTATAAATGTTTCTTTACTTCACTGTTTTTGGTTGAAAATACTGCTGCTTCCCTCTTGGTACCTTCCTTGCTGCATAAGCCAAGTAGTCATCAACATTGTGGGACATTCCCAGAGCTGAGGAGCTCTACTCTGGTGGTGCCAAGGTTTGACCTTTCTTCAATAATCTGTTGAAAGCCAGAAGACAAAGGGAGAACTTGCACCATTACAGTGACAAAAATAAGAGTAACTGTTTTGTGTTTTTTTTTCTCTTTTCTCAGGGACAACATTTGTGGGCTATGTCCACGAATTCTGCATTTGTGCCCTCTCATTTTCATTTTTCTGTGGTGATCTTACAGGTTAAAGACTTCATCAACTCCGAGCTCCTAGCACAGTTATATTCTTCTGAGGACCAAAACACTCTGATGGAAGAGTCAGCTGAGCAGGCTCAGCGTAGAGATGAGATGCTCCGCATGTACCAAGCTCTGAAAGAAGCCCTTGTGATCATTGGTGACATCAATACAGCCACTGTGTCTACCCCAGCTCCACCTCCGGTAGACGACTCCTGGCTCCAGCATTCCCGCAGGTAGAGAGGAGGCTCCATAGTACCTGAGCTCTTTCCTGCTTGTCCACTGTCCGTTTCTAAGGATGCTTTCCAAAACCAATATGAACCCAAGCTAAAAGAGGGAAAAGTTCAGGTGTGAGGGGGTCAGATGACACCAACATGCTTCAGAAACAAGTGTAGTATATCCTTACAATAGAACTCAATAGTCAGTAAAAAGAGTTAAAAAGTGCTATATATCACCAAATGAAAAGAAAATCAAGTTAATGTTGAAGCTTTAAAAAAGGAGATTGTAGTCTATGACATTAATATATATATATATACCCTGTATAGAGATAGTTTAGAAAGAAACATCTGCAACTGCTACTGGTTGTCTTCCCAGAGTGAAGGACGGGGAGGGGAACTGATCCCTTATTTTATAGCTTTGGACTTTTTTTTAACTTTTACAAAAACTTTATTGAGAATTTCATACATGTATATAAGGTGTTTTGATCAAATCCATGCCCACTCCCTCCCCTCCAACATTCCCCCTCCTGAAAAGGTAACCCTAAAATCTTTTAAGGATTAGATACAAACTCCCAAATACTTTTGACATTTTTTGGCCTTTGGAACAAAGTAAGTTGCTAACAGGTCCAAGGACATTTTGACTTTTAGTCAAGAAACTGGCTACATTCCTTTGGGGTGTTTTTATCCTAACTTCCTAGCCAGTTCCTACCTCCTATTCTTATCACGCCATCCTCTGAAGGGGTTACCCAAATGGCCAATAGGGAATAGGGACATAGATCGCTCTGGCTTCTTCAATGCTGAACAGGGACTCAGGGTGAGGCAATTGGAGTATCCCTTCAGTGGGTCTATCTAAAAGACTCCCAAATTGCATAACTCTTGTCTCTATGGGGAAAAGAAAGTCCTTGAATAATGAATAGGAGACGTGAAGGAGAAGTAAAGGCAAGAGTAATTAGCGTTACAAGTTCTAGACAGGGAACTAGAAAAAAGTCAGAACAGGGCACATTTCAAATGTTCATATGAGAGTCCATTGGAGTTTCTTGACAAGGGCTTCCAAAAGCATCCCTCTATTGGGTTCTTCCTCATTTTTCTTTTGTCTTCCAAGGCTGGACTAGTTGGCTGGGAAGAGTGGCTGGATACTCAGGTGAGGGTCCAGTGCCTAGAACCAAAGCCTTTTAAATTCCAGGTCCTTTTAATAAGATGATATTATACAGCAGTCCCTTCTACATGAAATAACTACCGCCATCACGACTTCGGCTGAGCCTGATCACTAAACATAGTCACAACTGGGCTTGTTGATGGTTGTGCTCATTCATTAAAGGAGTGCCAAGCAGGATCACCTTTGGACTTTTTATAACATGGAGTTATACAGTCGAGAATAAAGTGTAAAAATCAGCCAGGAAATTACACAACTTTTTAAAAGATTAGTTCAGACACAAAGGAAAAGTGAATAAATTACAATTTGTCTTTTGTCTCAGGTCACCTCCTCCGAGCCCTACCACCCAAAGGAGGCCGACTCTAAATGCTCCCCTGACAAGGCCCACATCTGGCCGAGGACCAGCTCCTGCTATCCCCTCTCCGGGCCCCCACTCAGGGGCTCCCCCAGTCCCATTCCGCCCAGGCCCATTGCCTCCTTTTCCCAACAGCAATGATTCCTTTGGAACCCCTCCACAAGTTCCATCCAGGCCCACTAGGGCCCCACCCAGTGTTCCAAGGTAAGGTCTGCAGCTAAGGTTGGTAGAGGTGCTCCTTGGTTCTCTCCTCAGAGTGCAACAGACAACATTTATTTGAAGGCAAAGCAAAAAATCATTGCCAACATCTTACCATACATGTTTGCAATTTTCACACTGGCAGTGGAGACAGAAGATGTGGGAAATCTGTGGTGCCTGAGCCACTTATACCATTAAGACACCTTTGTACCAACTGGCACAAAGTAAATGACACCAAAGAAAATGGGTCCCAGTGAATCCCATCTGAGCAGCTGTGATAGAGTCCAACCCAGGGCTTTGAAAACAAAGTTGTGGCTGGATTGTGGCAAATTGTGTGCTCCACAAGTCATGAGAGGTGCATGAGTTAAGACACTGCCTTCTCTGTTACCAAAAGAATTCTAGAAAACCACTGACTCAAGGACTTTTATTCACTCACCCCATGTACTATGACCCCAGTATCATTAGCTTTAATGTAAAATAAGTAAAATTGAGCTAATCAATCTGCAATTTTAAAATCTATACAGAGATTTTAATGTAGACATGATGATTACATATTAGGCTGTTGACAACTGAATAATTTAGGCAATTATAAGCAGATTTGGGGGATTGCCAAGCAATATGTGCTAACCAATAATAGAACTCAAAACATGTGGTCTTGAAGTTATATTCTCACTTTCATCCATGTTTAATCAAAGTAGACATAATTGTATTATTGAGTTTTCCCCCTCAAAATAAGAAATTTTAAAAAGAAAGAAAATTAGCCCATATGCAAAGCTAATTTTTAATGCAGAATATTAGATTATTCTTATGCCCCACAAAGGAAAACCTGACCACATCTACTACCCACTGGCCACCCATGGTGCACCTTCAGGACTGTGGTTGCTTACATTTTATTTTGCTATTCAGAGGAAGGGGGAACCTAAACTAGGGGGACTCAAACAGAGGGTGAGCAGGAGTCACAGGGTTTTGCAGTCACAATACCAGGATCACACATTTACCTTGGAGATAGAAGTTTATCATCTATGAAACAACAAAAACAAAAAACTAATGGCACTATTGTCACCCAGCTCCTGACAGATGAGACATCAAGGGTGGGGGTATGAAGAAGATCAAGAGTGATTGAGATGTTCTGTATGAAATATACAAAAATTTAATTTTAAAAAGGGGGTAATAAATTCCCCTGGATCTGTAAGCTCAAATAAACTTTTCTTCTATTAAAAAAATGTGGGGGGGATAAACTGTAAAGGTCAAAGTTGTTAATACTATTATCATTATATTAGTTCTAATCAAAGAACATGTAAATATTCAATAGACTTGGCTTCTAAATTATTTGAAGCTGAGTTAAATGTCTAGTAATAGTACGATAGCTAAGATTCCTTTTGATTTCAAGATGAGTTAGGCATTATCCTAATAGCTTCACATATACATTTTTGTTCATGAATCCAATTTCACATTTTACAATATTCACATTTTACAGATAGTCAAGTTAAGCAACTTGTCCAGTGCCACTCCTCCAGGAGCCAGGCTTTAGGCCCTAGTAGCCCAGTCTCAGTCACCACAGCAGGACCTCTCTTAGTCTCCTTACTTCTTACGTTTCTGGCTATGCCCATGAATTGCCAGATGTTTCGCAGTATCCCTGACCTCACTAGATGTCAGTTGTATCCCCGATTTGTGACCACTGAAAATATCTTTGGACATGGCTGCTGTCCCTTAGGGGAACAAAAGCCTACTCTACTTGACAACCACTGCACTGTAGTGTTCAAAAGAATTTCCTTTCCACATCAAAAACACAAATTTCAACATCGAACATTGCTACAAGCAAGATCAAGTTTATTGTTTTAGAAAACCTCAAATTGACTGAGGAAGTGTCTACCATTGTGCCAGGATGGTATGGAGGCGTGAGGAGAAGGGGGAAGGCAGGAATCCCATAGGGAGCTTTGAGCTCTGTTTTTCTTGTCTGTTCTGCTATGAGAAAGAACCAGAGCATCGTGGTGGTACCGTGTTCAGGAATGGGTGTGCAAGTATTGCCTGCTTGCTTGACTGCTTTACTCCTTGGTTTTCAATAAGCTAGCCTGCCAAAATCCTTCAGAAAAATCAACTTTCCAATGCTAAACTGATTTGTTAAGCAGGGTGGAGCTGACTTTGGTATTTTTGAGCTTGCATGCAGGCAGGAGGGTGGGGATGGCAGCCTGTGCTGAATGGTCAGGGCAAGGACCACAGGGCAGAAAGGGGACCCACCAGATTAAAGGAGGATGCACTGTAGAATTTATAGGGCAACAGTTAAGGTATTCAGAATTTCTAGAATGCTCTCAAGTTAACTTGATCTGGTCTTGCATAGAGTCCCAAATTTAAAACAGAAATGGGAGTCTGAAGCGAAAGAGGAAAGCTGTTTGTATTGTGCTGAGCCCTCAAGATTCAGGGCCAGCAGAGTCGGCTGGGAGGGAATCCCTGTGGCGGGAGTCACCTGAGCAGAGCTGGAGAGCCTGTCAGGGCCCCGACGCCTATTAAAGCTTTGCTTTAGATGGAGGATTCTGACCACACAGCATCTGTTTTCAATAAAAGCCAGAGCAGGAATCCTACCAAATGCAAGCCAGAAATGGGGTTTAAGATTTCAAAAAAAGAAAGAA